CGATCGGTTTACCTGTGTCCATTTCACTGCAAACCATGGCCAGCAGGAGTTAGTTTAGAGTACCCGCGACTGGAAAATATCCCCCAAGTACCGGGAAATTCAACCAAAGTTGGTTAAAATCACGATGCACGTAAGGCCGTCTCGGCTACTGTATCAGTCTTAAAGTGAAGTGGGGCTATATTTTGGCCCAGAAGCTCGAAAGTTAGCGTTTAAAAAGTTTTGCTCTGCCCATTTCGCTGCAAACAATGCCATTAGGAGTTAGTTTGGAGTCCCCGGGACTGGAAAATATCCCCCAAGTGCCGGGAAATAGAGCCGAAAATGGTAAAAATCACGATGCGCGCAAGGCGGTCTCGGCTACTCTTTTAGTCGTTAAGTGAGGTGGGGCTATATTTCAGCCCAGAAGCTCGAAACCCAGCGTGCGATCGTTTTACCTATGTCCATTTCACTGGAAACCAAGGCCATCAAAAGTTAGTTTAGAGGCCTTGGGACAAGAAAATATCCCCGAATTTCCGGGAAATTGAGCCAAAGTTGGTCAAAATCACGATGCGGGGAAGGAAATCTGGGCTACTCTATCAGTCTTGAAATGAAGTGGGGCTATATTTTGGCCCAGAAGCTCGAAAGTGAGCGTTCAAAAAGTTTTGCTGTGTCGATTTCACTGCAAACCAAGGTTTTCAGGAGTTAGTATAGAGTCTCCAAGACTGGATAATATCCCCCAGGTTCCGGGAAATCGAGCCGATGTTGATCAAAATCGCGATGCGCGCAAGGCGGTCTCGGCTATTCTTTCAGTCTTAAAGTGAACTGGGGCCATATTTCGGCCTAGAATCTTGAAACCGAGCGTGCGATCGTTTTACCAGTGTCCATTTCACTGCAAACCAAAGCCATAAGGAGTTAGTTTAGAGTCCCCGGGACTGGAAAATATCCCCGAAGTTCGGGGAAATCGAGCCAAAGTTGGTCAAAATCACCATGCGCGTAAGGCCGTGTTGGCTACTCTATCAGTTTTAAAGTGAAGTGGGGCTATATTTCGGCCCAGAAGCTCGAAAGTGAGCGTTCAAAAAGTCTTGCTGTGTTCATTTCACTGCAAACCTAGGCAATCAGGAGTTAGTTTAGACCCCCCGGGACTGGAAAATATCCCTCAAGTTCCGGGAAATCGAGCCAAAATTGGTCAAAATCACGATGCACGCAAGGCAGTCACACCTACACTATCAGTCTTAAAGTGAAGTGGGGTTATATTTCGGCCCAGAAGCTCGAAAGTAAGCGTTCGAAAAGTTTTGCTTTGTCCATTTCACTGCAAACCAAGGCCATCAGGAGTTAGTTTAGAGTCCTCGGGACTGGAAAATATCCCCC